TAAGCACAGAGGACCAGGGATATAAGGCTRTTACTCGATTTATATATGCCACACCAAGGTACAGGGCGCAAAGGCCACATCGCTCTTGGGGGAAAAAATGCCCATTTTTCTACAGTGCAAGTTTGAACACTTCTCTAGAATCAAATAAAAAGTGCTTTCACCTCTAAGTAGTTACTTCTAGCAAACATTGAGTTTCAACTTCCATTCTGTTTTTACCATGCTACATGTTTTTGTGGGGACTTTTACCATAAAAACAGAAGGAAAATAAAGACTGCAGCTGACTGGGTGTGCCATTTCATTTACCAAATCCAGACATTTCATACACCTGTGTAGGAGAAATACTAATTTACTCTACAGGCTTGTGATGAAGCATTTTAATGCATTTCTTAATTAGATATTTGAGTTCATTTTCTTGGCAGTATGTTTGAAAGTGTCACAGTTTGAACATCTACCCTGGCCTCAATTCAGATTTAGGAACCCATGGGAAAATCTTGTATTAATTTAGTCAAAAACAGAGGGACAGTGTTGGGAAACACAGGAAAAAAGACTATATACATATTCCCTGCTGACTACATTCCTCTAGCTCCCACATTTTGACTTGGAGCTGTTTCAAGAAGACATCCCTGTCAATGCTTGTCACACAATTAAACCTTTAGAGCTGCTGAATGGAGTGATCAGAATTTCACATATATTGGCTGTTCAGCTCAGCCATATGTGATACCTGTTGCAGAAGAGCTCAAATTCTATCATTGCAGAGGCSCCTTTTAAAAATGTACTGCCACACATCATAAAAATATGCCCACCATAGAAACACAGAGAAGACAATTTCTTAAGCCCTGGAAATTTTTATTTATTTTTACAATATGAGCAACCTCTCTGCATTGTTTAGGACAAGTACATGGATAATAATTCCACGTGCACTACTTACAATCACGTTCACATGCTATCGGAATCACCCAGCCRTATAAATTTGGCCTTAAACAGATATGAGTACAGAATTGCATGTATGTGGGAATGGCCAGGCCTGACAACTTTCAGTTTATGTTGGCTGCAGAAGACTTGAAGATATCTAATGCCAAAGGAATCTTGAGAACAACCCTTGAGAACCAGCCATTGCAATTGCGGCCATACAATCTAAACCAGGATGTAACAAGCATAAAATAAAGGATTCAGAAGAGGTTTTCTCTTAAGTAGGGCAGGAGCAAATGAAAAGTGTTTTCTCAGCAAAAGTGGCTTTAACAGCTCTGTTAGCTGTTTATTTACTAGTAACTCTTTGCAGAGCTAGAGAAGCACTGATCAAAGGAGCCTGTCACAATCGCATTGCAGCTCCTAAGCCTCCCCTTCCAAGGACTGAAATAATGAATGACAATGAGCGGTGTACATGCAGCATACAACTGCCAGTAAGCAAAAGAAACTATCATGCTGAGCCATCTTCRTTTTCCATCAACAAAAATCTGCTACTGCAGAATTCAACAACTGYAGAAGAACTTTCTTCTGCCTCCCTCTTGTTCATCCAGCTTTGTTAAATCCCCCTAACGATTCTAAGACTTCATCACARAAACCCTGTTTGTTAGTTCAAATTCTCAATTCTGCAAGGGACAGTCAGAGAAAAACTAAGGAGAAACAAATTTTTGAGACTTTGCTGTTGAGAAAATGAGTAAAAGCTCCATAAATCAAAATTAATTTCCATCACTTACATGCTAGCTTTCTTAGTCTTATTTTGAATTCAACCTATTTGGGATCCAGAATGCTGGTTCAGAAATAAGAGGCTTTGAATCATTTTGTGTGTCAAGCATTTTAATTCTAGTTCTTTAGGAAAGCCAAGTCCTGTATCAAAGAATAATTTTTTCATGAACTTAGTGCTCACTGTGTGATGTGTTAAASAAGTCTGTTGTTTAGTTATGCTTTCTTTTTAAAGTGGATGAAGAAAAAACAGGGAGTCTAACTTTCCCAAGAATTTCACTTTGGGCTATAAAAAACAGTATATATCTTTCTCTGATAGATCACRGTTTCACAAGTGCTGAAAAATGAACAAAATAAGGGACAGAGAGACATGAAATTATCATTCTGACTCAGTTAATATAAAGTGATGGCAAAGAAAATACCACTCTTGTAAGAGCATCAAATTCAACTATTTGGGTACCCAAATTCTCTATGTAAGAATTTCATTCAACACTACTTTTGACTSCACACACTACAGAAGAGTTTCCACGTTTCAGATGAAGAATACACTTTCAATTCAGTATTCAGCTTTTTTTAATGTACTTTTCTTGAAGAATGACCTGATTTCATTACTTCAGTTCATTCAGTTCTGTGTTTTCTTTTCCCTTCTATCAATATTAAGTACAAATTCACCTGCTCTGCAATGCTCACTTCAGCATGTAATGAGCTCAACATTAAAAAAAAACAAAAACAAAAAGAACTGGTAAGAAATTTTGTACTGAACTACCCAGAGGCCTCTCTACTTCACAAAAACGCTGAAGTTTTATTGCAATCTTGCTAACAGTGCAAAGTTCCTTATTTTTCTGAAACAGCCAAAGACTGTTGACTTCAATGATTACTTCTCCAGTCATCAGTGATTCAACTGATTCAACTCAGCATGCCACAACACTAGTCTGTACCTTCCTGCTGTTTCCTAAATGATTAACAGTTCTAACAAAGTCTCTGTAAGAACTCTGTATTTGCTTATAAAAGATARAGCATCCAACCTGTTCCCCAACATCACCTGGCTACCAGTTGACACTACCATTCCCAGCACTCCTGTAATCTGTTCCAGCAAGGATTAGTTTACTGGTTAGTGTCTAAACTCGAGGATACACTACTGATGTTCATAACCGATAAATCCTGCTGAATAAATTTCCCATCATGAACACTTYTAGCATAAGGAGCTATGGCAGCTGTTGCCATATTTGTTGGCTTCTTCTCCCTCCTTGGAGAACACATTCCAATCTTCTGCTGGGTGGTGTCATGCAAGTTTCCTTCCAGAACACCATCTTCTTGTGAGCTAATAGCAGAGCCTACCTGCTGGGCTACACAAGACAGAAATGTTTCTCATCTGAAAAACACAAACAGGATGCACCAGGTTCCTATATTTCCACAGTGACCTTAGAAAAGTATTCTGTATATTTTTATTAAATTTCTCCAACATGTCGTATAAGTAATATGCCTCATGGGCTTCCGTTATCTTCAGTATTCTATTAGGTGTTTGTAAAATCTGAAGAGATAGGAAGCATCAGGAATTATAGCTGTGTTCTAACAGTCAGCAGCATGGTCTTGCACTAGAAGATGAACCCCTGTATCTTCTCTGATGGATTGATCTTAAATACAAATACATATTCAGTGGCTAATCTGCAGAAAAAGTGGTCCAAGCTACTTAAAGGCATATGGTAAAGATGGCATGCCAAGAAAGAGTGCACATCATATTTCATACATATTTTCATTTATTTATTTTCATTTTCAAGGAAAGCGAGGCATGTGTCACTATTTTATTTTTTGCCTATTAATCTACATATGCCATTAAAAATATCAAACCATGGAAATTCAAAATAGATCACTGTGCTTATAAATGTTTAGTATGTAAGAAAAATTAATGTCTCACTTATAGCACAAAACACTGTGGCATACACTAAAGGCTCTCCACAGATGGAGAGAGAGCATTGGTATCCACAGAACCGTATTTGCAAACAATAATTTACAGACTACCTGTCAGGGACCATTAGAACAATGAATGTCTGCTGAATCACAACTGTGAACACACCCTTGGTGATTTTTAAGGACTCAGCCAGACAAAAGTCRTAGCTGAGCCCTAATCTAGTTTCAGTCAATCCAGGTTGGTACAGAAATTGGACTAGATGACCTCCAGAGGCCCCTTCCAGAAAACACTTCTGTTTTATGGTACTGTGCAAGTTTACCACGTTCTCAACAAATGATTTTATGAAAAAGGTGTGTCATGGTCACAAAAATCTCAGTCACAACTGTCCTTTAACTCCAAAAATTGTATAAGGACGTCAGCAACATATTATAAAATCAACATCAACACTGACATATTAAAGTTGGCCCAAAATGAATACAACAGAGGGCTATATAAGGCACCCAGTTGAMGAGAATCACTTTCTCCAAGTTGGATAATTGACTTCTGCCTTAAACAATATCAAGAGATCAYAGTAAACCTCTTCTTCTGATCACATGTTGCCTAAATCCTGATAAAGTAAGCCTAAAACTCTCTAAGCTTTTAAGTATTTTTTTAAACTGTTGCTATAGTTTTGTCCAGCTATCAATRCTACTATTATTAAGGTAAATAGAAYCTTGTTTGCACACTCATTTAAAACTTTTAGTGAAATCTCACAACTGATCAAAGGTTTAAAGTGAAGGCAGTCAGCTCCTTAGAAAAATGTTATACCACCAGAAAAGCAGGGGTTGTGCACATGGAATCAGGTTCAAGAGATGAAGCCGCAAATCATTCTTATACTTACATCTTATACATATTTCTCTATAATAATCAGTGACTTTGACTCATGCTGAGGACATTACCAAAAACTGACACTAGTGTTAGACCGTGTTTATTAGATAAACGCTGYGTCTCAGTTCCTTCAGAGATGCAAAGGGATGCAACAGTTGCACGGTTCACCTGGTGGACTGACAGAAGGATGGGCATCCGTGTTTTCGGGCGTTTTGCCTGCCCATTTTTTCTGCCACATACTCTATATAACCGCTGGGATCAATGCCATCCCCGCTGCGGCTCCTGGAGACCGGGAAAGATGGATCSAGACGGCTCTGGGAGATGTTAAGGGAGGCCGCGAGCGGGACGAGGCGCGGCAGGGACCGCGCTGCTCCTGTCACGGCCGGGAGCCGCTCCTGATGCCTGTGCCGGCCCGCAGAGCCGCGGGTAACGCTGCCGGCCCCCACACCTGCCCGGCACCGGCAGGCGGCAAACGGGAGACAGGACCCGGCCCGTCCCCAGGGACACAGACAGACAGACAGACAGACAAACAGACACTTACTTGATGTCCTCCCAGACGGCGGGGCCGTAGTTGCGGATGACGAGCAGCTCCAGGGCGTGATTAACGAAGCCGTACTGCGGGGCAGAGCGAGCCGGCGGCACGGTCAGGCACAAGGAGGCACAGGACGGCACAGGAGTCCCTTCCCCCGCCCCGCASCATCCCACCCCACCCTTCCCATCRCCCCGGCGGCAAGCGACCCCACMGAAACATCACCCCATCTCCCCCCGGAAAAAAAAAGSGCTGGGGCCCGGCTTCCCGCTTCCCCAGTGGATTCAGTCCCGTTCCTCCCCCCACGGGCCCGGTGCCGGGCAGAGCGGGCGCGCCCATGCCCGGGCAGGGCGGGAGGCCCGGCGGAGCTCACCATGGTGCCGCCGTCGCCGCCGCCGCCAGCACAGGATGGGCCCGGCCGCTCCGCCACCTCCCCCGGCCGCCGCCGCCCCGAGTGGCACCCGCCSGCAGCCAATGGCGAGCGGGCCCGCTGCCCGACGGGCCAATGGCGAGCGCGGCCGCCGCGCTCTCCTCCAATCAGAGGCGGGGGCGGGACCGCAGGGGCTGAGGGCCGCGCGGGGGCGGGCGGGGGCCGCGGGCACCGCCTGGGGCTGGGGGCGGCCGGGGCCGTGTCCGATGGGGCCGGGGATTGATCCCAGAGTCAGGGACATTCCTGCAGTACCCATCCTGCACACAGTGCTGGGGGACCTGCCTGCAGGGCAACGAGCGCCTGCCCTGCTGTCACTTCCCTCTGCAGCGGCTGGCTTCCCAACGATGCTTCAGTTGTTTCTTCTACCAATGCAAACACTTAACTTTAAGGAAAACGAATGTCCCCAAAAAAGGGAAGAATCTGAGCCGCAAATTGATCGCAGACATTTCTGTTCCTGTGCATTCATTTTTCAAAGGCCCGTGGAGTTAAAAGCAGAATATTGAGTGTTTTCGGTAATGGGGGTTTCTTGTGTGTTTTTCATTCCCTGTCGGGTGTCAGTGTGATTGAACACTGCGCTGTATCAGTAACCTACTGAACATGTTTCTTTGAGGTTTCTTTGAGTAACGTATAGCACTTACAACAAGAGTTTCTGAGCAGAAAAAGCCAATTGGGAAATAATAGACTTTATCATTTGTTATCATGTGCAAAGAATAAAAAAAGATGATACATCACTTGAAAAACCCATACAAATGTTGTAGTTACAACGTTGTGTGCCTGCTGTAGTGAATCTACACTACAAGAAGACCTAAGACAACATCTGGGACTTTTGTCCTCCAGTGTTGCTGAAAGTCTTCTTCACACATTTATAAAACAGTTTTGAAGATACAAACATCAAGGAACTCCTGACAACACATCTCAGACAGGAAATAAGTTGACTGTGTTGAGAATTGGTTTAAAAAAAAAAATCCCCATTCTTCACAGTTTTCAAGAAAATCCACTTGCTCAGTTTGTATATGGGGTAAGCCCTCATGCTTATAAAGATTTAGAGAGATGACATTAAATTCTTTCTGGTTATGGTTTTCAGAAGGTAGATTATCCTGGTAATTTTGTGTACTTGAGTGACACTTTTTCAAAAGTGCTCATATCTACAGTGGTCAAAATTGCCTTAAGCAAATATGAAATTGCCYTTCTGATTTGGTTCAGGCTTGGTAGGTTGCATTTGCAGGATTTTCTTGTGATTAACCCATTATAATACAAATTTGTAAAATGGGAAAACAGCATAGGCAGAGTAAAAGCAGGCAGTGATTGACTTAGTTTTCTAAAACAGGAGTCCCCTTGTCAAAGTAAGTACATGCCAAACTGAGCTGTTAATACTGAACTATTTTCAAGACCCAACCATGTCAGACTGTTAGGCCACATGCATTATGCACATCACACAAACGTCTGGACTGTATCTGATGCACTTCCAAAGCYTGCAGCTTATTCCACTGTAGCACACTGTCATATTCCCATTTGGGGACCCTCATGCACTAGGTACATGCTATCTTAATTTGAGATGCTGACTTCATCTAGCAAATCTTGGTGAGATTCATGAAAGCAAAAAGTAGCACAGGATTCTTTTATGCTGTGTGAAAGGGCAGTTGTTGAGACAGTAACTTTGAGAAAACCACTAGCTGGCCAAGAACATCTACTTTCAGCTCAATATGGTTTGTGTTAAYACACAAGCACTATAAAACAAAGGAAGTGTTTTAATTAGTTGCATTTTTTACTTTGGACTCCGCTTTTGAAGTTTATGTTGTTACTGAAGTCCTGAATAAAAAAAAGCTACCTTATATGGTATTGCTAGATTCCACTTACTAAACATGGAGTTACTTTACTGAGATTGGACTGAATTATAGGTATTTTCTAGTTATGGTCTGAGACTTGACATTTGGAATGGTCATAATAATACTCCTCAGGGGCAGAAACACCCTCTTAAATTCAATTCCACAAGAATCATTATTTCCACTACACCACTATATGCTTTTCTACTATACCATTACTTTAATTTTTCAGGGCTGGTATTGACAAGCTATGATGAAACAGCCATGTGTGGCTGACATATGTCCATGCTGTTCTGTAATGCAGTAATATGTGTACATTTGTGAAACTGAGTGTTCTATTGCATCCTCTTTTAAGAGGAATGTAATCTTAGCCATGCCGAGCAAACTAATAATATATCCAAATTTTCCCTAATATCATCTGCAATCAGTGGAAAGACTCCTGTTCATTTTCACATGCTTGTAGTCCAAAGCCCCTGGGAATGCCTTTGTTCTCGATACTTCTGCAGCAGGTTTTGTTTGGGCTGAAAAATCAGAACCATAGAAATGTACCTATGTCTGAATCCACCCCCTTTCCACATCCTTGGGATGCTACTGCATCTATTCTCTCAGTTATTTCCCATTACATGCTGCTGTGTGTGCAGGATATGCATTTGCTGTACTGGCACAAAAATTTGTAATTTTGTATGCTCAAAAAATGAGAAGCAATTTTAGCACAGATCTTCAAAGGCCATCTTATAATGGGACTGCAAAGTAATGTTCTCATTTACATTTATATTAGGAAACCACTGGCTTGACTTTGCTTTCAGCATCAAAATCTGCGGAAGCAGATGAGGCACACAACTTTATAAGGTTGTTTACTTTGTTTCAGATTCTTTCACAGTTTATTGTTTCTTTGGCTTTCCAGCTTGATGTTCCACCCTAACTGCATATTTAACATTCAGATCCGACTGTGCTCAGGAGAGTGTGTTGMATCTGGACATAGCAAAGGTTCCAGAATCATTGATTATCTTCCCTCTTTTATTTGTTTTTCAGCATCAGAGCAATGCTCAGTAACATAAGACAGTGACTTTTACCATCTCTCTGCTCTGCAGAAAAGGGCTTCCAAAGAACACATGAAAATAGGATTGGAAAAGTTAAAAATTATATATATCTGATTATTTCCTACCTATGCAGTTATGAGCAGTCACACCATCAGAGATGGCTTTAGAACTCTCAAAAGACTGTTGTGTCACACATCTTGTAGACTTTTAGAGGCAGAAAAGTGAAACCTGCTTCTCRTTTCAGAAACTTAAATTTGGTTCCTGCCAAGCTGACTTATGGCAAAGTGGAGCAAAGCTTTGAAAGCAACTCAGTACCTTGTACACTCTGTGGCAAACAGCCACAAAAGTCATTGGTGTTGCAGGAAACAAATCTCCCACTGCTTTTGCAGAACAATGAGCAGGCATTAAAAAAATGGTAGCAGCTAGAGTGGCCTGAGAGGTTGTAGGATGGGTGGGGTTTGAAAAAGAGTCTCCTTGCCAAGATTCAAGAGCAATTCCCTTAATTCTGATGCCTTTCAGTTGGAAATACTGATTTTGTCTCCTGTACTATTAATTGCAGCTGTTTCTAAAAGGACTGCAAAAGAAAATTATGGGAGAAATAAACTGGGTTTGGGGGAGGTCCGAATTCTGCCTTCAYAAGTTTTCCCAGGAAGAAGCAGATGTGTCCCAGGGGCTCAATTATCTGTGAGCTTCACTGTTCTGTCAGTTTCTGTGACTCCCTTTGCTTTGGTTTTGCACAGCAGTTCAGAGAGAAAAAAAGCATCAGCTCCACACTAATTGCGCTTCCTCTGACACCAGCAATGCAAATTTTTTTCCAACATCTCTCTGAAATCTTATCAGGTCATGCTTGAACGAAATAAAATTAGTTGACTTCTTTGGGTATAGCTTTCACATTAGCTATGTCAGTGTTAAGATTCAAAAGACCCACTTTTTATTTGAAGGGCCATTTACACTTCTTTGGCAAAGAAACTGCAGGGCGATAAAAATGCATATTCCATCACACAGTGTAAGTCTGAACAGGAATCAGGCACACAGAATCTTCATGAACTAACAAAATAAAATTTCACATATAAATTTGTTTCTGGACCCAATACTAAGGTATTTTTATATTTATATAAATACCATTGCGTAGTCTCCAAAAATTTCCACAATACAATACACTGTACTACAGAAGACATCAACTTAAAAACAATTCTGAAATGTCCCAGAATTGCATCAGTTAAATTGCCTTCCTTTTGTTTATCTTGATAATTTGCTTATTAGCTGATTCCTTTTTTTTTCACTTTAAGTGAAATTAGTTAAAAAGTAAAAAGGAGTATGTAAGATGTAAGYGAAAAAATCAATTAAAATATTTGCTCATTAAATACATATTTACTCAGCAAAAATCCTTAAACCCAGGAACAGCTTCAGTGAGATCTAAATTTTTTAATTATGCTTAAAGCTAAACAGACTTTTGGAGGTTTTTGTAGAACAGGTCTGAACACAAGTACATTTTAAAGCAGTTTCTTGAATTATTGTCTCAAATATGTATCTAAATCCTATTTACTTCACTGAGACTTAAGCACGTTGCTTTCTGTATACACTTCAGCACCTTATCAGAATTCTCGCCTGAAGGTTGACACCACTAAGGAATGTATCAAGAACAGCCACAATGAACATCCTATTTAATGACAGATCTATATGGAATCTAGCTTTGAGCAGGCTGTCATTCAGTCCAGCAAGAGTTCTCTTCTAGAGACAAAAGCAAATTCCCTCTTAAATGTCCCTCCCATTCGGTAGATCTGAGAAAGCGACTCTTTTTATTTAAAAGCCTATTTATTTTTAAACATTCAATAAATGACAGGGACGGATAGATTCATACTGACCTCAGTCATTTCTGGCGTAAATAACATAAGCCTACTGAACTTTCATTAGTAAAATACTCCCACATTTCTATATCCAGAGACACCCAAATGAGACTGCTAGTGACCTCTGGGCATTTCTCTCAACAGAATTTTCTGGCCAATATAATATTGGAAAGATCCCAAGAATCGCATAGTTCTTGTTTTCTTAAAACTCTGCAGTGTTAAATACATGTGCTTGTAAATGTGTATATGTGTATATATCTGGTGTGTATATATCAGATGTGTTCATATATAATACACTTTCAGGTTCAATTTTTGTGCCACAGAACTATTTCTAAGCATCTTAGATGGATATAGTAGACTTCAAGAAGAATTCAATGTTTCAAGTTTTGTTCAAATGCTCCTTACAGGAAATCTGAATTGAAATATGGTTTTAAAATGTTCTTAATGCTAGTCTCTTATAAGGACTTCTCTCAAGACTCTRATGGTACGAGTTTCTACCAAAAAAMCAGTCATATCAAATGGTACATTGAGCTTAAGAATGCACCAGTCAAGATCAGAAAACGAACAAAATGGCACTTTAGTCTAATGCAATTGCTCCCTGTAAATATTAAGAGAGCAAAATCTGATTAAGTGGCAAGTTGTTTGGAGACTTTTATGGTTTGATATGCCAAACCCCCAAGAGCTGAAGAGGTTAGAATAATACTAGTTGATCCTGCTGGGAGTAGTAGTATGTGTGTAAGTCATGCAGTTCTCCAGCCTGCAGTTGGGATCAAACTGTACAGCACAGAGGAATTTCTGGGCAGATGGATCTGCTTGTTAGAGGTGGAATCCTAAACTCAGAACTCTTAACTAACTCTATTCTGCCTGCTCCAGAGGCAAAGCCTTTAGAATTTTCCACTCATATTCCCTCATCCACAACAGAAAGGTTTGTACTGCATTACTATTAGTCTTTGTAAATGTGTTCATATGCATTTTAAAGCATTTCTCTTCACCTGGCAACTTTAGTGGGAGCACATAATGGGTTCCATAACACGTCACCACCCATGTTGCATCTTTGAATAAGGACTATAGCTTTAAGCTGGTGTGCTTCTATTTCATATACTCTGACTGGAATTTAATTTCTAAGCAAACATTCCATAGCATGTTTTATTACACTTCTGTTAAAACATTTCAAATTTAAATGACAACAAAAAGAAAACATTTATTGCTGTAATACATAATAACAAGTGGCATTATTATTTTTAAGTATTTTAAAAACCCTAAGAACTAAAATAGTTAGATGATTACAGAGATGCTTGCATGTGATTATACAGTGTTTTAATCTATAGTCATTTTATACACAAAGTTCATGAAACAGTAAGCAGCAACTCTGTTACACCTGTGTATTAGCTACAGTTAGCAGCCTGATCCAGAAAATGCTGAGCACCCTCATACTTTGACCAGTCAGTGTGAAAAGATGGTCAGCAGCTTCTAGGATGGGGCCCAAATGATGCACTGGAAGGAGTATGTGATGGCAATGACAATATTTTAATGGACATTTTCTTACGGAATCTCTAGGAAAATACATTTTCATAGTCATCGATAAGCACCAGCTCACAACACTGCATGTGGCTGCATCACTTGCACATTACATTTCCTGACAAACTGCATATACAATACATCTAGAATTCTCAGTACAGAGAGAACTGTAGCACTTACAAATTACCACAGGGAAAATACAGTTTATAGTAGCATTTCCAACAGTGACATTGCAACATTACTTTAGCGACTATGTCCCTTATGCAAAGGAAAAATAACAAGTAGTCAGTGACATACTTCCTGAAATTTTAATACTGGCTTTCAGGTGTTAACAATCTAAAGTGCTTACATGTTTCATACAGATTTAAAAATTTTCAATTTATACAAAAGAAATCCAAATATTTATAAATTTATTCTATAMATTTGTGAATGTACAATTTAGTCTATTCCTGTTTCCTCACCAAAAAAATTGGCATTGCCATCTCCCAAATCTCTCTTTTGAAACCAAGTCTGTGAGTTTGTTCCTTGAGTATAAGAATCCAGAAAATAGCAAATTCCAGGGATATCACTTGGAAAATTTGGTGGAAGCTCTTCTCTTGAGCGTGGTGTGAACACAAAACCTGGGTATTCCTTTAACAACCTAGAACAAAAATGAGTCATCTTGATTAAAAATGAATCAGTCACAAATAAATGTAGATATTCAATAATTCTGCAAGCATGKCAGGGACAATCCAATTTAATTTTTATAGGTACTTACTGAAAATATAAAAAAATAATGTTTACTTGGTAACCTTGTTAACCTTTAACTTGTGAACCAATGCAAATAGCAGTATTGCCTCTTTTTTGTCTTGTCAATGTTTTGCATGTAGGTGCTATGTTTCTTGTAAATATTTTCAAAAATTATTTACTGCTGAAAGCCAGATCACATCTGCACATCAAATGCACCATAATTAATGTTTTAAAGAAATGGATACTGTGAACCTTATTAATTAAACAATTCAGACCCTCTTACCAATTCTAATATTTTTTGCTTTTTCACAGATTGAAACAGAGATTGCTAATCTGTAAGGATAAATATTGATAACTTGCATCTAAGCTTTCAAACATTTACTGCAATATAAAGGAGTTGTGTAAGGTSCCATAATGTTATCAATGTGTCTTTAGAATTGGTGAATGAATCAAAATTTAAAAAACACCAGACAAAAAGGAGGTTAACACCTCATTCACTCARAAAAAAAAGGAAACTCTATAACAATAATAGTTCACCCATTCATCAAATTGCCTATTTTCTAGGGGTATCATTCAAAATTATTTTCCATATGAATTGAATGGAAAAACAATCACTGTTGGCCAGCACTGCTTATGAGGACATACAGAAGCACTGGTGATGCTAATGCTCTGTGTTTTCAGAGTGCATGATCAAAATGTTACTTTCTGTGCTCTWATACCTGTGCTACATTTTCTAAATCATCTGTCCAAGATCTTCTAAAGCTTGGCACGCTGTATGTCACATAACACATGCTGCAGGGGACGTCAGGATCCTGTGCCAAATTCTCTGTTTGACGTTGGATTGCAGAACCTTGCCACAAGACATTATCAGATTTGTGGCAGTGGGTATAAGCTGAGTAGGACCAGGCTACAGTGAGGGCAGCAGAGCTTTCTTAAAGGGTAAAAAATAATTTATGACTTTGCTTATTTTACCCAGCCAGCCACATCACTTAATTCTAGCAGATTCACTTATTAAAGTACATTCTTATGGAACTTTTAGCCACTCTGGAAGAAACAATAATGTCTGYCAGCTCAGTGACATAAAATTCAGACCTGGGCCTGGAGTTAAGATGCTGACTGTTGTTACCATCACATCCAAAACAGTTTCCTRTTGTCTTGCCTGGCATCTACAAGACACTATTACTTGGCCATGAACATGTTGCAAGGTGATTTTGAAGTACAATTAAACAGATAATACAAAGAGAGAGTTAGGTGTGAAGGACAAAGGAAAGATGCTGTATTTCCCATGGGAGAGCCTGCTAGCTGTCTGCATAATCACAGAGGACAAGTTACTAAAAATATCTGATCTGAGTGGATAAAGAGTACAGCCTGAGTTCCATACTAACAGATTTAAATTTAATTGGTGATCAAGACCTGTATAAACTAAACACTGGTGAATTTGATTCATTGCAACCCATTCATTCACCCTTCCTAACCAAAAGAGAATGAAGATGTGTAGGGTGATGCTTAACCATTCTTCAGTGAGGTTGTTGTGTTAAAGAGCACCTGCAGCCAGGTTGGCATCCAGTTCACAGAGAAAGCTCAAAGRAGAGCAAACTATATGACAGAAGAAGGAAGAAAAAGCAAATTTATACAGCTGYGGTGTAACAGGCAAAGCTGGCCCAGACAGTCAACATCTGAAAACAAGAATCACTTGTTCTGTTTCACCTTTTTTCTTGCTGCTGCTGGTTGAAGTCTGGCTATTGATAACCATGGTGTATTCATGAGCAGTCAGATAATAAGAAAAAAGGAAATGTAGCAGTGCTTCAGGGAAGGAAAAAACCCAACAGAAGACAATAGACTACTCAGTAACATCTGCAGGTCGACATTTTACATATATCAAGCACTGTACCTGTAAGTTGTTGGGCTGACGTTTATTTTTCTAGGTACACTGCAAGATTCAAACTTATTGGCAAGGGTTACATTATTTCCAAAAAGGCAATAACGAGGCATTTTAACCCCAACAACTCCAGCAAAGACAGATCCAGAATGAAGGCCAATACGCATCTTTAAACAAAAGAAAGAAAACAGCATTATTAGGTAAAATAGAATTGATTAAGTCAATTTTATAAATTATTCTTCAATTAAAAAAGAAACAGCTACTAAAATAAACTGAGTTAGCAGAGTCTCCTTAAAATTACTGTATCCTGGTCATTACTGTTCATGGAGAGAGAACTATCTGAAGTTTACCTTGCATTGCATTTTTAGTAAATATTCCTACCATATCAAAACATGACTGTGAACTGCTCTAAACATAGCTCATACTCAGATTTTTGATTCTTATTTAGCTGATGCTGCCTTCTATGGTTCTTTTCGGTGGGTTGTTTTTTGAGTTGTGTTCTTCCTCTCATATGCATTATACATCTGTAGACGTGTTTTCTGAGTAGCATTCTGACACAACAGTGGCATGATTACAGAAAGCTTGTATGTCTGCTGTGTGCGCTACTCATTACAAGAGAGTATCGTATCATACCACTGGTATTGGTATATTCAATTTCAATCCGTATTCATATATTCAATTTCTAACTTTGAATGTAAAAGCAGAAAAACCTGCAACTAAAGCAAAATCCACCCACAGAGTAAAGATGGCTGAAAYATATTCATAGAAATACAAGTCTTATTCAAAGTAGGCAGTTTGTGTTCACACCTTTTTTTTCTTTGACAATTGATATGTAAAATGACAGTAGACTGTGTGAGAAATGTATTGCTTTGCACAATAGCCAATGATTTCATGAAGCATTTAATTAACATAGATGCATGTTTTCACTAAAAATAGATAGATTCAGTTTCCTTCTAAGAAGCTTCTATTAGCTACTTACACAACACAACTTTTTTCTCCTTATTTTTTAAAATTAATTTTTAAAAAGCAGTAGTAGGATTTTCATATAAATTTGTTATAATATTGTCAGGATGTTTCCAGGTTTTTTTAAGTGCAACTTAATTTGATACTGCAAAATATAAAAAGAAMAATATTTATGATACAATACTGCTGTTTTCTGTGATAAATGCGGAGCATATAATCCTCTTAATAACCATTTTCTTTGTCTTAGCAWACAAATATTCCTTAATCTAAAACTTTTAAAAGGCATTAAGATTTTCTAGAGGAAAAAATGAACAGATAAATGTTAAAAATTAGCAAATGAAAGGCATAATGAACTGAGATACCTCTATTAAAAATACCAGGATGCCATTCCAGGCCATTTGAACTTTGTCAAAGGTTCACATAATTTTTCATGCACACAGGCATTTCTGTTTCTTTTTCAATGAGAGATAATCCTACATGAAAATTTCAGTACAAGTGTAAGTTCTCATTGAAAGGAAGCCATAAATATAATTAGCACTGAATTTAACAGTTACTTTGACAGCAATAATGCCATTATCTTATGGTGGTTCAGTATCTGACTGTAAAACAAGAACAGCAATGGAATCCTTTAAAGATGTGTGGATTACTACAATCAGAACGTCTTTGGGCATTCATATTCATGGCTTTTGCGTCAGAAGACTTACAAGTCTAATTTGGAAAGAGGATTAGTCATTTCCTTAGAAAAGAGCATATTCCATGCCACTGACAGATTTATTGCTACTGAGACAAAAACTGCAGAATGTCAGATTGCACCTATTGACTTCACTGCATTTGTCTTTTGGGTTGATTTTCAGATCCCTATTTCACTTTTACCACTCCACATTAATAGAACTAAAAAAGACAGCGTCTCCAGCCACAGTCACTTGATTCCCCAAATTGTCTGAGTTAATGCAATGATGTGAAATTTCCTTGAGGCAAAATCCCAAAAAGCAACTGAACAAACAAAAATGCATGCTTTAACCAAATAAAATACAATAAAATATATGACCTTGATAGGCTCTCCATGGGGAGACACCACCTCGTCTGACAGTTCCATCATCTTCAAGGCCATCAGTGCTATTTGAACAGCATGGGTTTCACTTTCTTTGTGTAAGCCTCCAGCAACACAGTAGGCATCTCCAATAGTTTCAACCTAAAACAGGCATATTTGTTCCTTACTGTTAGACTGATCAAYATAAAAGAAAAGCCTATCTTCGGTRAGAATTGTAACTACATAGAATTCTTGACCAAGTCTTATTTTTCCTGCAAAATTATTTAAGTACTGGRCAAATCCTACAGTATCATGCAAAAGGAAAAATTGCACAATTTATATTTATTGCTSGGCATAATTCTAGAATACTTTTCCTTTTTCATTTACTGTGAGGCACCCATAGTTACATTTAACACCTATTTACTCCAGGTTTCTCTCTTGGCTGAATGTCGATTTTTTTTTGTTTGCCTGTTTTGTGATTTATTTTAATATGTCTTTCATTTAAAAAAAAAAAACGTTTATGGCAAAATAATTTTTGGACCTCTATTATCTTCTGTCCCACTCAGTCTTAATTTCCTTTCCTGCCCCAGAATCCCACAGAGAAGCAATGAACTGTATACCTTGTAGACATCTAGCTCTCCACACTGGTAATCAAAGCGAGTATAAAGCTCATTAAGCATGGTGATAACCTGCATAGGTGAGCAYTGGGAACAGATGGCAGTGAATCCAACAATGTCAGAAAAAAGCATTGTGACATTATTAAATTTCTTGGCTTGTACAACTTGTCCCTGCCACAGCTGCTGAGCAACCTCTCCAGGAAAAATTGAAAACAGAAGATCTACAGTCTTCTTCTTCTCTTCTTCGAGTGCTTGATGGGCCTGCTCAAGGGTTGCTTTTAGTTTCCCTAACCTCTTCTTCAGTCCATCCTGGGCTCTGGCCTGCTCTCCTATCAGAACAACATCTCTTAAAGCATTGTGAATGGGAATATCTGAGAGGTACAATCCACGTCCTGTAAAATCTTCTAGTCTATCCACACAAGGAGATCCCAAGAATAGAATGGCACTGGATTCAAGAATATAGATCATTTGGCCTTTAAGATCCATTACCTGAAACAGTTAAAGAAACAAGAATTCATGCAAAATATGCATGGCAATGGTTTAGAAGCAATAAAGTTTAGAGAAAATACATTTTGCTAAAATGTAAGAAAATCATTTTCATTTAGTTCCTTAGAGAAAATGCAGGGTGATGAATCACAGAGCCGTCAAATAAGTTCATTTTTATTCAGTCCTCTGATACAAAAGGAACCCTACTTAAGGATAAACACCTAATTATGTTTGGGTATCAGTTTACCTTAGGAAGAAAACAGAATAATTATGTGCATTTTCACAATTGATAAAATGTGTGACTAGTGACCTACAAATTTCCACTAATAACTAGTTCATGAACCACTTTATCCATATGATAAAGTGAGAAAATCTGCTTCAGTTTTATCATAGGATGTCCAGTACTCATTGCAATTTAAAATTAAAGGCATAAATACCAATTTTAATGGTCTAAAAAAGAAAAATATTTTGTCTGAAGTGTTTTTATGTCCCTTGTGTAGTCAGTYGTGTAATGGGCAAGGTGTTGCAAAGCTTAGCTTAACATGGCTTTGAAACACCACTTTTAAAATAAAATCATTTCCTTGCTAATAGACATTTGCATACTCAAGTACATGCAAAATCAAAGTCGAGTCTACTGACCATTGTAATCMTTCTGGTAAAGAAATGGGTCTGAGATGAAGTAGCTACAGTTTTTAACAGTAGCTACATTAATAGCTGGGTAAAACTTTTGTGCTGTTCTTCGTTTAAGTTTTTGGAGTGTTAAGTCTGAACTGATAATACATCCTGGAGTGCCTCAGGTGTATATAAGCTGGAATTCAGCTGGGACCAGGAAAGAATAAAAACAGTCATTGAATACTCAATGTTTTTCACTGTCCCAGGTCATTTGTCAGAGACCCAGCTTCAGCACAGATAGTTATAATCCCATCAGCTGAAACTAAGTGGAACCTTTGGTGACTATCTGATGAAAACATCAAAGATACCAAAATACCAAAGGCTGAATGATCACAGAAAAGATCTACTTCTTTTCCCCAAATCCTAGAGCTGTTCCCAAATGACTCAGGGGCACTTGGTTAAAGCTTTACCTGTCACCGTCTTTGTGGTGAAGATGCTCTTATTCTTAGCAGCCTGGCATATGACTGACTTTATCTMAGTATTTCAAATTATTCAAATAAAATCAAATTAGCAGTCAGATTTTATTTGTGTAAAAGTCCTAAAGCAGAGTTTGACTGAACATTGGCTTCAGAATCTGAATTACATTTGAGTACCCTAATTAAATAATTATTACTACAATTGTATTAGATGTTCAGAGGCAGAAAATGCAAAATGCACTACATTTTGTGGCTATTTTAACTCCATCTGAAGGAAACAAATTCCTCATAGAAGTAACGGTGAAAAAAGTCTCTTACCATGGATGGTTTCATATCAGTATTATCCCATCTTCTAACTCGTACAGTAAACTGCATATTTAACATTGTCATGATTCCACTAAAAGTGCAGCTTACTTTGGGGGTAAGAATTTCAAAATACTCTTCAAAATTTGGCTTAGCTTGAAATTCTCTCCTGGTCAAAAGTCTTCTTATCCCATTTCCAATCTGAAGAACTGACATATCCTTGTCAAACATAAAATGAAATGGGAAAGTCTTACAGAACACAGAGGCAGGAATCACAAGTGAAGACTGTGGTTTACATGGAGATAAGGAAGGTTTTGCACTTTTGACTTGTATAGAATACAGCAAATAAGGCTGATTAGCAAACTCTTTGCAGTCATTATGGAAACAAGGAGGCATGAGCATCACTTCGACCTCAGTTTCATATAAAATATGAGCTGCTGCTTTAATGATACCAGGTAGAATAAGACTTGTGATTTTCTTAGGAAAGAAATAATAAACATTTAAGAAGTCCTGATCTTTCTCCAGGCATAATATGGAGGCATCCTCAAGTCTGTCCTTTTTTCCTGCTTCTTGGTTGTGGCCACTCTGCTTCAGCAGAGTAGTGAAACTATTCAAGAAGTCCTTAAGGGTCCCTCCAATAACCCCTAATATGTGTTCATCCTCTTCATAGCATATTTTRAATAACTCTTCACCAAGAGATTCCTGCAGAGACTCTACGGGAACACCTGCAGAGAACCACATTTTAGTCAGAAGTGCACTCATCATGCTGAATCACAGGCTAACCCCCACATCTTTTTCATCTTAGGTCAAAGCAAATTATCCCTATCCTTCCTGATTCAGCATTGGCTCTTTAGGGCACTCTCATTTAGGAGCCCTGGAAACAAGACCTGGAAATGGGGGGACAATTGGTTGTAAGATCCAGAATTCAGTGTTCTTTGTAGAAATGTGGACGAAATGAATACAAGTTTTGGCGCAAGATTTAACTCAACTCAGATTGATAAAAAGGAATAAAGTAAGAATTTTGTAAGTTAACATAAGAATAAAATAGGATCTCCAGATATAAGTACTATACCTCATCCAGTACATTACATGACCCTAGGAATAATCTGGAGCATTCAGGCCAATTGACACAGAATAGCTCACATCTTTGCTAGTAAATTTGTTTTAACTGGATGGCTATATGCCAACTGACTGTTAGGAATGTTCCAATCACCCAGCTATTACTGGGAATTCTTTGAAAAAGTATTGTCACTCACAGATCAACTCTGTGGCTAGACCAATTTAACAGTTTACAGTACAGAAGACTATATTTYAGTTCCAGGAAGTGTTAATTTACTATTACAGATGTAGCCAGAATTACCTATTACAAATTACAGCAGTAATCTGTARTAAGTAAGTAGTAAGCAGTAAGTGTGTTCTCTTCCAACTCACTACAGTCCTTCAGAATATGAAGTAATATATTAGTAACAAGATTAATTTATATAAAATACATTATTTTTTATATATAGCAAATATACTCCATTTATATATATATTATTAGAAAAGATTCCATTACCTGCTGCATTAGCATGATCACTGATTATTTTTTCAAAATCTTCTCTATCACCAGTTTTTCTGAAAAGATCATAAAAATATAAATAAAAGCMCTACATAATCAAGATAAACATGGTAAAAAATAGTAACTACAGAAGTTACCTACCTTGTCTTTAAAGTGTATAGACCCAGTTTTGCTGATCAAATAGGAAGTTTTCAATTAATTCAAAATGGGGTCTTGGTTGGATCTTACATTGTCCCATGCATTTCTGGTAAATTAAAGTTTTGATGGCCTGAGCTGAAATTATGGATTTAGGCCAAATGCTATTGTCTGTTATTGTAACAGTGCTGTTTTTTATTTGGTTTGTATTTTTTTCTTGAARCCAAAACTATATTTCATAATGTGTTGTATAATATAATTGGAATTTATATTCAAGCACTTTTGGAATACATTGCATTTAATTCAAAAGAGGTGAGATGACATTTCTGCTTTGGAAGGAAATACCAATAACAACTATCAACTTCAAAACTGTTTTTTTAATGGTAGTAATGCAGACTTTTGACTCAAAACTGCAGCTCTYTTAGTTGTCTGAGGACAATAAATGTCAGCCTGAATGTCTGACTCAAAGTTTTGAGAAAGACATGTAACTTAGATTACCCTTCATATAAGCAAAACTCCTGATCCATGCTTTCTGAATTTCTTCACTTGGAATACCATAGGTATATTTATATGCCAAAGCAATACAGACATTTAGATTTGTTTTACATTTGCATTATTGCCTCATTCAGAACATCACAGTAATTTTTTCTTTTCAACTAATACTCTGGGGAAGCAACACATAATTAAAGAATGGGAAAACATTCATAGCAATAAGCCAGTCAGCAACTGCAAAGCACATCCGACCCGCTATCTTTGGTTCAGCCAATGTATGCAAAGTGCTTTAAAAATATGAAGTATAATTTAAAAGATACACTGCAATTATCTATTCTTATCATGGTAAGCAACAGTGTAGTTTCCAACTTGATTATTTTTCTTCACTTGAGAAAGCAGATTTARACTGATGGGCTTGTTTTTTCAGATGCATTCAATAAACTGAATCCCCAGTGTATCATGAGACGCTAAGAAATTCTCACTCCCTCCAAGACTCAAATAATTAGTACTGGAAGAATACTAAGAAGTGCTGAAAATCTGRCGGAATTCCTCAGAAACAGAAAACAGAAGGCAAGTGAGCTCAGGAAAACTCCATGTCAGTAYCTGTAGTGTATGATTGTCCACTCTATCAGGAATCAAATTTTTTTGTGTAATACTAATTATATTTAAACTCTTTCTCTGGGATCTTAGAAGCACTGAGCTAGATCCATTTACAACCGTGTCTATTGTTCCATCTATGACCAAGAAATCTGAGTTCCTCCGAAGTCCTTGCCTGTTTCCCTGTACAAACAGCTAAATTTGCCCATTAAGTCAACCTTGTGAGTGATATAAATATTTGTGAACCTTTTCAAATAAACGAAATCATTACTAGCTTACATTACATGGAATGTTGCACACCAGTCTGACAAGATAATTGAAAACAAATTCCAGAAGTCCTGATGCCCAGTCACCACCCCATTCCCAGTCCTTATGAACTGTCTGAAAAACATTTTTGCACCCATTACACTTACATACCTGCTTTCTTTTATTCTGTGTTTTGCAAGTGTCCTCTGAAGTGCAAGATTTAGCCTTTCAAACTGGGGAAAAAGATACATATGTCATATTTATGTATGTCATTGCTGAAATTTGAATCTTGATAATAACATCTTTATACACAGAATTACATTGCCATCTTGGAACTAACAACTTTTTTTCAACACAGTATTGTTGTTAGAAACAGCATGTCATTTCTGTGGTTATGGGGTTGACTTTATGTTCATCTCTTCAGCTCCAGTACCACTATAATTAGGTCCCTCAGCTCATATGTGCCAGTGGTTGTGTATTTTAAATACAGTGACGTTCTTTACCTCCAGGTTTTCAGATGGCAATAAAGACCGTGTTGCTAAGAAATAAATATAAGTAACCAGCTTTCTATTATTACACAATCCCCCTCACCCCCCCCCCCACAGTACCATGAATGCAATATGTAGAAAAAAAAACTTTTCTGTTTAAAACAGAAAGTCCTAACAAAAAAAAGCCACTTATATTCTGCATTATGCCCAGAGCAATTCACAGTTAAAAGTGAATCCTACATCAAATAACTTTTCTTGGGATATTAATAGTCAGACTCATTTGCAGGGCAATTTTCTGTAGTGTCAAGACAGAAATTGCAAAAGGCGACAGTTTTAACTGCAGCTATAAAAGATCAGTGTAGCACTCTGTGCCTCAGATTACCTACTTTTATGTTTTCACGACTACAGCATTTAAAGACAATGTTAGAACCATTATTTTAAAGAAAAAGAATAATTTTGGCTGTGTATGCCATGACCCCAAATATCCTTCAGATGAGAATCTAGTCACTAGATAACCTTTGCAAAAGAATTCTCTAATAAAAGACACTTTAAAGCATAATGAATATTTGCCTTAAATTACTTCAATCCCATGATTCCATGTCCTTTATGCAGTTCCTAATTGGAACAGATGGAACACTTTCCAAATATGCGTTTTTCAAATTGTTAGGGCCAGTACAGCTGTCATATCTGWGCAAGTCTCTGATATTCAAAACCCAAACTTCCCACACAGACAGGGTCATAGAATAGTACTGTACTGACACAACAGAATTTGGCTGTGAGGCTTCCTGTGGCCTGGCTTTTCTTTGGTTATCATTCCCTGAAGAAACTAGCAACTTTTACTGCATCTTTTACTTTTTGTGTTTTCAGGAGGAAAGTCTGCACAACCAAAGAAAACATCATGTGAAAGAAAGGCAATATATTCTGGAAATGTTTTCCAAGCGAAAATCTAAAGTGAATTAGATATGTATATACTTATCTATGTATATACCATATACCATACCATGTATATGGACACAACATAAATTACATCGGTGTAGAAACTGACACAGCAAGTGGAATTCCATCCAATTCATTGCTTATATACGAGCAATGTTCTCTACATTTCTGTAAAGAAAGAAGCAAATAAAACAACAACATGCACTACATTATATCTCAGATTTAATGAAAACGTTGTCTGGATGCACTATTTCCTGGACTTCCATGCATAGCTCACTGTTTCCATGAGAAGTTCATGAATCAATAGGGGTCATGATGCAGCCTCCTGTTAAGGAGCTTCCAGTTGGAAGATGATGTTATTCAACGATGTGTCAGCAAGGTACTGTAAAGAATCTAAGCAATGAAAAATATGTTTCTAAACAAGCAAAATCCTTTTATGGAAAACTGGGATTAGGAAGATGCTTAGGGCTTGACCCCAAATCAGCATGAGGACAGAATTGGACAAAGTTCTAATKAATATGACTTGAATAATGGTAAATAGCAGCAGCAATAACCTTGAACTTCAGTGGCTCCTAGGGTACATGGAMATAATATCTTCACTTTGCAAAGCTTTTGTCCCAGTGGATGAACTAACCTATCATGATTATATAAATAGACAACTGCAAATATATTTATACTACTCTTTAAAGAGAAAAAATAATACATTATTAAAAATCCCACCAATAACTATATATTAGAAAAGCAATACAGCAATCATATCCTGAAATGGGTGTTTTGCCAGTTCATTTTTGGGTTATAAGTCTTCTTTTTTATAAATTTAAAGGTCAGTTTGAAGGTTTAAAGGGATGCATTCAATCTATATAAATGCGGCAGAGGTAAAAAGCGTTTTCTCAAAACTTAATTATCTAGAGGTTTAGTGAATGGGTAATAGATGAAATCCTGCATAACCAGATCTGCAAATAGTATTAACAAAACTCCAGCACTTTAAGTAAGGCACACTGAATGTCCAAGTAATGGAATTGTAATTAAATGAGTGTGCAGAATTGTCCATTTGCTTTTTGTAGTCCCAACGTATGTCAGTCAGTTCCTTCAAACTCTCCACTGAATTTAAGGCAAGGCCAAGAGTTAAATGTCATGGAGCTGCAATTTTCTTTTTACAGAGATAAACCATGGTATTCATCTCCACTCAAGCAAGCCTGCACTGGACCTGYTTTCAGTTAAGCTGAGCACAGACATAAGAATATCTTTCTGATAAACATGAGCAGTAATTTTTTAAAAATAGGATGGCAGGAGATTAACATCATAGCAGATGGAAACAGCTATTTTAATTTTTTTGTGATAATGACTAATGCACTTAGCAGTTTCGATTCAGTTAGGTGAATTGGTAAGATGACCACATAATTTACACAATTAGATAACAAAGCAGAATTTCCATTACTATACCTCCATGTAAAAAAATGCTACAGAAATAGATGGATTTTAAAAGAACAATTAAAAATATCAGTGGAAGGTTGCAAATACAAGGCAAAAAGAAGGGAAATACAGTGGAAGGAATGGTGTGTACAAAATAGATTGTGGGCAAAAATGATATCCAGACAAAATGGAAGTGGATTTAAACCATGGAGAACTACCTAAGAACACAAACCTCAAAGTCAAAACAACTTTCTAAAGGTTTACATCTAAAGGCAGGCATAGAATGCCCTTTTAAAATCTATTAATAAATGCTATTAAAGTTTTTTATTATTATATAGTATCTATTTACCTCAGGAAAGATGAGTTTGCAGATACTTTCAGTTAGTGTGTGCAGGTACACTCTACTTCTGCTTGTTTTCCTTTGCGGAAGGTTTCCTTGACCATCTTTTTCATGGACTTCTTTGCAGATGGGCAGAGCTGCTCTAGAACTGTTTTCCGTGCAGTCCTTGTCATGTTCCTCAGTAATGTGACCTTGAGTCAGTAAGGAGAAAGGACATTCTCCTGTGATCTTCAAGTCTTTCAGTTTTGTACAGAACATACTGTACGAAGTCTCTCTCTTGAGATTAAGAGTACTTGGCTTTGCGTTTAATAGTTGTYTTCTGTTTACTAACAAGAGCAGAAGATGCCAGAATAGTAAGTTGATAAGGCAACCACTGTGGAAGATTATTGGTAGCTATAAATCACCACAGCAAAAAAATTGTGCCCCTACAAAACAAGAAAAAAAACAAGAAAGAAAACAATTACAAAAGTTTATTTTCTCTTTTAAATTCCCATGATGCACCAGTTTTATCTTAAATACATTAAAAATAATGTTTTTTTGAGGACTTTGTTCAGGAAAGCACTTAAYCTCATGTGCCCTTTTAAGCATGTAATATCTACTGACTTCAGTGATTCAGGTAACTCAAATTGCGTGCATGAATTGGGATTAAAGTGATTAATGCAGAGGACTTATCTGACACATATTTGGTCACATTGATGGATGAGGTTTCTGAAAGAGTGGAATTCCAATTAGGAAAACTTTTTAATTCTTTGTAAGCAGCAATTAAAAACTACCTCATATGGCACAATGGAACAGATTAGTTATGAATTCTTAAATCTAAATTTACTTGCTATCCAAGATATCCCTCATGTACWAGAGAAACATGACTAAAGTTAGTGTGTACTTATTAAACAGTAAACCATCCAACACCAAAGGTTAGAGTCTCTTGTAAAAACAACTGACTGGTGACAACTCACATCTTGGGAATTTGACCACACAACTGCAGTTRCTTGGAAACACTAAGGGATTTTTATGCTTTTGAAGGTGATGTTTAGCAAACAACCATTAAAAAAGGGCTGCACTTTTAATTTTAATACTGGTTCCATTTGTTACAGGSCCAAAGCCCAGCTAAAACTTAATCTGGCTACTGACGTAAAACACAAAAAAATGTTTTTACAAATATATCAGCAACAAAAGTAGGGCAAAGGAGAATCTCCATCCTTTACTGGATGCAGGAGGAAACAGTGACAAAGGATGAGGAAAAGACTGAGGTACTTGGTGCCTTCTTTGCATCAGTCTTTAATAGCAAGAAMAGTTCCCCTCAGAGTACCAAAGCCCTACAGATGACACAGAAAGCAGTATGATGCCCCTATAATCCAGGAGAAAATGGCCAGTGACCTGCTACACAACTTAAGACACACAAATCGATGGGGCCAGATGGGATCCGCCCAAGGGTATAAAGGGAACCAGCAGAAGAGCTCACCAAATCAACTTCCATTATTTACCAGCAGTCCTGGTTGACTGGGGAGGTCCCAGTTGATGGGAGGCTGGCTAAGGTAGATCCATCCACAAGCACAGTTGGAGGGTGGGTATGGCCTGACAGACGGACATCAGTCAGCCTCAGTCAGCCAGGGGAGGTCGTGGAGCAGATCATCTTGAGCACCATCCAACACATGCAGGACAACCAGGGGATCAGGCTCAGCCAGCAGGGGTTTAGGAAAGGCAGCTCCTGCCTGACAAGCCTGGTCTCCTTCCATGAAAAGGTGACCTGCTTAGTGGAGGAGGGAAAAGTTGAAGTCTACCCAGACTYAAAGCCTTTGACACCATTTCCSACAACATTCTGGAGAAACTGGYTGCTCRTGGRCTTGCACAAACATATCTTTGCCAGGCAAAGAATGGGCTGGATGGCCAGGCCCAAAGAGTGTTGGCGAATGGAGTTACATCCCATTGGCATCTGACATCTGGGGGTCCCCAGGGCTCAGTATTGGAGCCAGCCCTATCAATGACCTGGGCAAGGCGATTAAGGACCTCAGTCAGTTTGCAGGCAGCACAAGGCTCTGTGGGAATGCTCATCTGCTGCGGAGGGATCTGGACAGGATGGATCTATGCACTGTGGCCAATCATATGAGGTTCAACAAGATCAAGTGATGGTTCATGCCTTTGGTTCACAACAGCCTCAAGTAGTGCTATGAGCTGGGGGCAGTGACTGGAAAATTGCCTGGCAGAAAAGGACCAGGCATTGGGGGTGYTGGCTGAACATGAGCCAGTGTGTACCCAGGTGGCCAAGCAGACCAGTGGCATTCTGGCTTGTATCAGGAATAGTATGGCCAGYAGGACCAGGGCAGTGATTGTCCCCCTGTACTCAGCACTGGTGAGGCCACTCCTTGAACCCTGTGTTAGCTCTGGGACCCTCAAGAAGGACATGGAGGTGCTGCAGCATGTTCAGACAAGGGTAACAGAGGTGGTGAAGGGTCGGGGGTAAAAGATTTATAAGGACCTGCTGGAGAAACTGGGTGTGTTTATGCAGGAAAAAAAAAAGAGGCTCAGCAAAGACCTTACTGCTCTCTACAACTGCCTGAAAAGAGKCTGTAGCAAGGTGAGGGTCAGTCTCTTCTCTCAGGCAACAAGTGACAAGATGAGAAGAAATGGCCTACAGATTTAACAAGGGAGGTTTAGACTGGATTTTAAGACACATTTCTTCACAGAAAGAGTGCTCAGGAATTGGAACAGGCTGTCCAGGGAAGCAGTAGAATCATCATCCTCGGAGATATTTAAATGTGTAGATGTGGCACTTAGGGACATGGTTTAGTGATGATGATTTATTTCAGTGAGACAGTCTGAAAAAAACTCTTCCTTTCATTTTCTATTGACTGTATCTCATTCAATCAGATCCTCTCATGCTCATATAATACTCTTTAAAAATAATCCTCGAGAGCTTTTGGAAACTCTGGAAGCAGCTAAGTGTTACATTTTTCTCTCCAGAGAAACAACTATTTCTTTCAAAGGCACTATGGCTTTAATAAGCCCGTGCACTATACCATTTGTTTCTGCCCCTGAGACACCCTGAGGGYGTTTGGGGTCACACAGCAACTGTATCAGGGTTAAAAATAACTAATTCCCTGATACAGGTTATCAGCTGCTGCTTTAGAAACAGCTGGAATGAATGGCACAGCAGAGTAGTGCTGCAGACACAGCACAAATGACAGGAATAAAAGGAGAAATAAGCAGGAGCTACTTTGATTGGATCTGCTGCTGAAAAAAGTATTTGGCAGAAAAGCCGCTTTAAAGTATTCTATTACACTGATGGCACCAGGCCAGGTTCTAGGGGAYATCTATCAAAATTAATGCCTTATTTTAAGAATCAATAAACACAATGCTAAGAACAAGAGGCTGAAGAATGTTTACAYAACATTTTATTTTTCTGATTTCAGTTTTTACACAGAAAGTCATTTGTTTCTGCTGCATGGACATCAGGAATGCTTCATTTTTTTACTGCTGAATAACTGTGTTGCAAATAAGGCAGTGAAAAACTTAAAGYAAGAACCATATTCCAAATACATAAATATACCCAACACTTGATACTGTAAGCTGTTGTTTTATATAAATATATAGAGGTATAGAGATTTTTTATTCAGAAGCCATTACATATCCATTACATACTATACATACTATAAGAAAGAAAAGCAGAAAAGAAAACGTATTTTCTGTAGTTGAACTCATCTGTCTATTGAAGTAAACATAATATATACATTCACCATTGTCAAAGCTAAAAAAAAAAAAATATGGCTCTGATGGATCTTACATTTATACCTATGTGCTTTGCTGAATTTGGGCCTCAAATTTCAAGATAAATTTTGAATTTATAAAATAACTACTAAAACTTCTTAAGACAAGTATATCAGTGCTTTGAAAGGAAAAAATCTCTGAAATATATTTTGGTGAAAAATGTAGAATTARACATTTAAAACATCTCACAGGGAATGCAACACTGCAATTCTACATGCTGCCGTTTAAACAGTCTTAAAAAAAGGTTTATTAGTGAAGAATGTAGGAGCGAACTAATAGCTGAATTAGATAATAAATATTTACTGCATTTGTACTAACCTAAGAACAAAGTGAATGACATTTGGGAGCTACCAATGGCTTTGATGGGTTTTCTGTTTCTTTGGCTGCTTTTCTTCAGCTAATGAAATTATTTCTCTGTTTTATAAAAAAATAATCTAGAACTATTTGCGGTTCACTTTCATGCTAACATATTGTATCTTAATCAAATTACATTTATTGTGATAGGAAAAATATCCAGGCAGACAGAATCAGTTCTGTAAAAGAAGTGATGCCATTGTTCTACACCTGAAAATTCTCCAGAAGCTGCCAAGTGRGAAGAAGAGGTCCCAGAAGTTGCTCACGGGACAAGACCTTTTCAGGGGCAAAATGGGCACTGTTGTGAAGATCCCTGAGTTGACAAAGCTGCTGGATGCAGCTACTGTGTCTGCAGCTTCTTTTTGTGATGCCATCCTTTGTGCTGCAACACACCTACATTCAGCCTCTTCCTGCCCTGGTGGGGACTGGAATCTTTGCCCTTGCTCTTAATATGACCTTGGGCTTCTGCCAATTGCTATTTATGTACCCATTATCCTCGATTTGCAAGAAAGTGGATATCCATGATTTCTAGCAATAATAATGTTGTACAAAACCAGCACCACATCTTTAAAGTCGTAACAATGAAGACACAGYTCCTAAAGAAAGTTTTCTGAAGAGCCATTTTCTAAGAATCCTGAAGTTCTCATTTACCCAGAAACAAACTGTATGGTTCTTTGATAACAAACATCCCAATTCAAAGCCATTATCAATTTAATAGGTGTAACWATTTTCAAGCTGTGGTCAGATCAAAACTCTCCCTGACCTCTGCAATGACAAAACCCTCTAAATCACATCTTTAAATAAACTACTGGAAAACCTGATTCCATGACACTTCAGAGGATTCAGGTGCTGAAAAAACCCTCTATGTATAGAGT